TTTCACCGGTGACCCCCCCCCACCTCCCCCCACCCTACAGACCAGCGTGATGAAGTATTATTGCACTATACTTGGAGACCCGGCGACTCGAGATAACCACTCCTAACCTTCTTCCGGGGGAGGGGGGGCGCCGTGACGGAAATCTCTAAAACTTGACTTTTGATCCACTACAGAGTTCTTGGCGGTCCGAGTTCTGGACTCGTGTGACACAGGCCTATATCGCTGTCCGTTCAGTGGCGCCGCACAGATCCCCCTTGCTTCACGGATGGCAGTCCATTCCTGGGTTCCTCATGGGCGGAGCCTGAGAAATGCTGATCTGATGAGGGGAGGTGCGGTCATAGTGTTTTGTCGTCCCTGACGGCGGCGGCGTAGGCACCCGCATAGATCACAGCGCTTGAAGTGCGTGTGCGTGGAGATACTCGGTATCCTTCCATGCGACCCGTTTACATAGAGACTCAGTGTTCCGTACAGCTCAGTATTTGTACCCGCGCGGAGAGAGAGCCGCCATTATTATGCGGCACGAGGAGCCGGCGGAGGTACTCGGTATCGCTATACAATGCAGCATGCCGACACGAAGGGGCCACATTATCCTACGCGGCACAAAGATGATTGGTGTATTTCATACTCTCTGCATGCAACCAACCATGATGGCGGCTCAGCTCTGTGCAACCAACCATGATGGCGGCTCAGTCCTGTGCTACCAACCATGATGGCAGCTCAGCCCTGTGCAACCAACCATGATGGCGGCTCAGCCCTGTGCTCCCAACCATGATGGCGGCTCAGCCCTGTGCTACCAACCATAGTGGCGGCTCAGCCCTGTGCAACCAATCATGATGGCGGCTCAGCCCTGTGCTACCGACCATGATGGCGGCTCAGCCGTGTGCTACCGACCATGATGGCAGCTCAGCCCTGTGCTACCGACCCATGATGGCAGCTCAGCCCTGTGCAACCAACCATAATGGCGGCTCAGCCGTGTGCTACCGACCATGATGGCGGCTCAGCCGTGTGCTACCGACCCATGATGGCGGCTCAGCCGTGTGCTACCGACCCATGATGGCAGCTCAGCCCTGTGCTACCGACCCATGATGGCGGCTCAGCCTTGTGCTACCGACCCATGATGGCGGCTCAGCCTTGTGCTACCGACCATGATGTTGGCTCAACGGCGTGCAACAAACCATGGTGGTTGGTCAACGATCTTTATGAATGGCCGCCTAAGATGTCTCTGTGCCCTGCCGCCTGTTACACCATTCGTGCCATCACTCCGTCTTCACCACTGCCTTGTCACGTGACACGCCTGTGCCCATTACACGCATGTTTATCAGTATTCTGTGTCCTTGTTACATGATGTGATGCACGGAAGTATCCTCTTTGTGTTGTACGCATGCGCATTCATTTTTTGGGTCAGTATTTTGCATGGACGGGGCCCCTTTTCCTCCTTGCCGCGGCACGGTGTGTGTAGCTTGGTAACCGCTGTCTGCGGATCGGGTTCCTCTTGGTGTGTAGCATGTGCCAAATCCTCCTGTGAGAGTTTCTACGCTGAGATTGATGTCCTGTATTTGGTGAATTGTGGTCCCCCATCGCTCCTCTTTGCAAGCATGTCACATGATCACAGCACACCGCCCTCTGCTCTATGCCCGCTCCGTCATTGCTCCAGGCTCACGTCTACTGAGCCGTCATCCGGTGTTCAGGAACCTTCTGTTGGTCATGTGGCTTGATATGTGACTGCATGTGGTCCTCCTTGGTTGTACTGATATATGGAGGACCTCTCTGTATAACGATACCCGGTATCCGTGTGTAGGGTCAGATATGTTTACACTTTACTGGCTTCAGGATTTTTAGATAGAGCAGTTGTCACGGGGCCCCGAAACTCTTCACGGGGCCCCGAAACTCCAGCTATTAGCAGTGGTTCATTGAAGGAAGTGGAGACCCAACCTCCATAGTCAGCAGTGATTGCATGGAGGAAGTGGAGACCAGACCTCCGTAGTCGGCAGTGATTGCATGGAGGAAGTGGAGACCCGACCTCCGTAGTCGGCAGTGATTGCCTGAAGGAAGTAGAGACCCAACCTCCGTAGTCAGCAGTGATTGCATGGAGGAAGTGGATACCCAACCTCCGTAGTCAGCAGTGATTGCATGGAGGAAGTGGATACCCAACCTCCGTAGTCAGCAGTGATTGCATGGAGGAAGTGGATACCCAACCTCCGTAGTCAGCAGTGATTGCATGGAGGAAGTGGAGACCCAACCTCCATAGTCAGCAGTGATTGCCTGAAGGAAGTAGAGACCAGACCTCCGTAGTCGGCAGTGATTGCATGGAGGAAGTGGAGACCCGACCTCCGTAGTCGGCAGTGATTGCATGGAGGAAGTAGAGACCCAACCTCCATAGTCAGCAGTGATTGCATGAAGGTAGTGAAGACCAGACCTCCATACTCAGCAGTGATTGCATGGAGGACAAAGACCTAACCTCGGCCGTTGGTGATTGCATGGAGGAGTGAAGACCCGACCCTGGAGTGGCCACTCCATCATTGACTAGCACTCGGATTCCCCCTCTCTGGGTACCGCTGCCTTATTGCATGCAGAAATGTGATGGCGTCATGCACATTGGAGGTCTAGCCTTGCAGAACTGTACAAAGATTTATTGTGAGCAGAACTTCTTCTTCATTGACTTTCCTTGGATCTCCAGACTTTCCATGTGGAGAAGATTTCCTTCAGTGGATACACGTGACCCTCGCTTGGTCACCAGGCCCAGTATTGTAGCAGAGAGAGGTTGTGGTTCAGTAGCAAGTGGCGGCCTTCATGCTTTCTTTTTCTCCTCCCTTTTAGAGGCCTCACCTGAAGACATAGAAATGGTTCGGTGCATGCCGCGGCCTTCACTTCCTCTCCTGGTCTCAGCTGAGGGGAGGGTAAGGAAGTAGAGACCCAACCTCCGTAGTCAGCAGTGATTGCATGGAGGAAGTGGATACCCAACCTCCGTAGTCAGCAGTGATTGCATGGAGGAAGTGGAGACCCAACCTCCATAGTCAGCAGTGATTGCCTGAAGGAAGTAGAGACCAGACCTCCGTAGTCGGCAGTGATTGCATGGAGGAAGTGGAGACCCGACCTCCGTAGTCGGCAGTGATTGCATGGAGGAAGTAGAGACCCAACCTCCATAGTCAGCAGTGATTGCATGAAGGTAGTGAAGACCAGACCTCCATACTCAGCAGTGATTGCATGGAGGACAAAGACCTAACCTCGGCCGTTGGTGATTGCATGGAGGAGTGAAGACCCGACCCTGGAGTGGCCACTCCATCATTGACTAGCACTCGGATTCCCCCTCTCTGGGTACCGCTGCCTTATTGCATGCAGAAATGTGATGGCGTCATGCACATTGGAGGTCTAGCCTTGCAGAACTGTACAAAGATTTATTGTGAGCAGAACTTCTTCTTCATTGACTTTCCTTGGATCTCCAGACTTTCCATGTGGAGAAGATTTCCTTCAGTGGATACACGTGACCCTCGCTTGGTCACCAGGCCCAGTATTGTAGCAGAGAGAGGTTGTGGTTCAGTAGCAAGTGGCGGCCTTCATGCTTTCTTTTTCTCCTCCCTTTTAGAGGCCTCACCTGAAGACATAGAAATGGTTCGGTGCATGCCGCGGCCTTCACTTCCTCTCCTGGTCTCAGCTGAGGGGAGGGACGTTGGTTCAGTGCATGCCGCGGCCTTCACTTCCTCTCCAGATCTCCTGGTCTCAGCTGAGGGGAGGGACGTTGGTTCGGTGCATGCCGCGGCCTTCACTTCCTCTCCAACTCTCCTGGTCTCAGCTGAGGGGAGGGACGATGGTTCAGTGCATGCCGCGGCCTTCACTTCCTCTCCAAGTCTCCTGGTCTCAGCTGAGGGGAGGGAGGTTGGCTCAGTGCATGCCGCAGCCTTCACTTCCTTTCCTGGTCTCAGCTGAGAGGAGAGACGTTGGTTCAGTGCATGCCGCGGCCTTCACTTCCTCTCCTGGTCTCAGCTGAGGGGAGGGACGATGGTTCAGTGCATGCCGCGGCCTTCACTTCCTCTCCAAGTCTCCTGGTCTCAGCTGAGGGGAGGGACGTTGGTTCAGTGCATGCCGCAGCCTTCACTTCCTTTCCTGGTCTCAGCTGAGAGGAGAGACGTTGGTTCAGTGCATGCCGCGGCCTTCACTTCCTCTCCACCTCTCCTGGTCTCAGCTGAGGGGAGGGACGTTGGTTCAGTGCATGCCGCGGCCTTCACTTCCTCTCCTGGTCTCAGCTGAGAGGAGAGACGTTGGTTCAGTGCATGCCGTGGCCTTCACTTCCTCTCCAACTCTCCTGGTCTCAGCTGAGGGGAGGGACGTTGGTTCAGTGCATGCCGCGGCCTTCACTTCCTCTCCAAGTCTCCTGGTCTCAGCTGAGGGGAGGGACGATGGTTCAGTGCATGCCGCGGCCTTCACTTCCTCTCCAAGTCTCCTGGTCTCAGCTGAGGGGAGGGACGTTGGTTCAGTGCATGCCGCAGCCTTCACTTCCTTTCCTGGTCTCAGCTGAGAGGAGAGACGTTGGTTCAGTGCATGCCGCGGCCTTCACTTCCTCTCCTGGTCTCAGCTGAGGGGAGGGACGTTGGTTCAGTGCATGCCGCGGCCTTCACTTCCTCTCCACCTCTCCTGGTCTCAGCTGAGGGGAGGGACGTTGGTTCAGTGCATGCCGCGGCCTTCACTTCCTCTCCTGGTCTCAGCTGAGAGGAGAGACGTTGGTTCAGTGCATGCCGTGGCCTTCACTTCCTCTCCAACTCTCCTGGTCTCAGCTGAGGGGAGGGACGTTGGTTCAGTGCATGCCGCGGCCTTCACTTCCTCTCCAACTCTCCTGGTCTCAGCTGAGGGGAGGGACGATGGTTCAGTGCATGCCGCGGCCTTCACTTCCTCTCCAAGTCTCCTGGTCTCAGCTGAGGGGAGGGAGGTTGGCTCAGTGCATGCCGCAGCCTTCACTTCCTTTCCTGGTCTCAGCTGAGAGGAGAGACGTTGGTTCAGTGCATGCCGCGGCCTTCACTTCCTCTCCTGGTCTCAGCTGAGGGGAGGGACGATGGTTCAGTGCATGCCGCGGCCTTCACTTCCTCTCCAAGTCTCCTGGTCTCAGCTGAGGGGAGGGACGTTGGTTCAGTGCATGCCGCAGCCTTCACTTCCTTTCCTGGTCTCAGCTGAGAGGAGAGACGTTGGTTCAGTGCATGCCGCGGCCTTCACTTCCTCTCCTGGTCTCAGCTGAGGGGAGGGACGTTGGTTCAGTGCATGCCGCGGCCTTCACTTCCTCTCCTGGTCTCAGCTGAGGGGAGGGACGTTGGTTCAGTGCATGCCGCGGCCTTCACTTCCTCTCCTGGTCTCAGCTGAGGGGAGGTACGTTGGTTCAGTGCATGCCGTGGCTTTCTCCTTTCTCACCCGAGGGACCAGATCCAGAACGGTGCATGCTGTGGCCTTTGATGCTCTCTGGGGAGGCTGAACCTCTCTGCACACAAGGGAAATCGTTTTTCTGGAATGCTATTGTTGCTGCTGCAACTTTTGCTAAACTGCCTCAGTCCTTGACCCGAGCTGCCAAGACACCAGCCACGGTCCTTTTGTCCCGGTCACAGGGGAGTGGTCCAGTCACCTCTCCATGGTTGACCTCCCTCTCACATGTTTACAGCACAAAACCTGTCCTGCAAAAAAAGAAAATCCTGCAAGATGACCTTCGTGCCTTTTCCAACCCGACAGAACTGGACTAAGGATCTCTTTTCCTGCAGATATCTGATGCACCTCCTCTTGCTCCCCCCACCCTCTCACAATACGTATTGGTTCTTTTGTGGTTCATTTGTTATGTTTCTCCTTTTCTATAAGCTCGTATAAGGGAACATTGTGTGCCTTTTTGTAGTGGGTGTGAAGAATGAAGTGGGGTGATTTTGTTGTCCACATTGATGTTGGATGGTCGTTGTCCACTCTTGGAAATTATGGTGGGATTGAGTTCTGGTAGAGTGGTGGGCGGTGGGATTGAGTTCTGGTAGAGTGGTGGGCGGTGGGATTGAGTTCTGGTAGAGTGGTGGGCAGTGGGATTGAGTTATGGTAGAGTGGCAGAGGGTGGGATTGAGTTGTGGCGGAGGGTGGTATTGAGTTATGGTAGAGTGGTGGGCAGTGGGATTGAGTTATAGTAGAGTGGTGTGACCACCAGCCTGTTATGATATTAATAACAATGATGTATGTAGGCTTGCTCATAGGATAGTCATTCTTCTGTGTGTTGAGTCCAGTGCCAACTAATGTCTTGGGCCAGCTTGACCCAGAATTGCCCCTTATATGTGGTGGAATTGTTTTTTGAAGCCACTGAACAACTAGCTACCATAGATCGCTACGTGCTGAGCTCCTGCGTGTGGCCACCACTGGTTACTCTTGTTGTGGCCTTCAGGATCCAGCGTCCAGTCATTGAACTGAGAACGTCTCTATTAACCCGTTGGAGACTGGATGTTGAGCTGGATTCTAGATTTTATGGTAGGCATAGTCTGTTACTGGTGTTACGCTTCGACTGACCAAAGACTGATTGGTGACATTGGTATGTTCACATTGCCAATTACATAGCTAGTCATGTTCGGTGCCCACCACTGGAGCAGCAGCGTGAGAAACGACCACCCGAGAGCTACGTTGGCTTCAGAAGTGAACTTCTTGTATGTTTCAGGCACGTTGTGTCACTGGTTTAGAAGAACCTCATGACTTAGATGTTCGAAAACTCATTAGGAACCTGA